TGGTAATGGCAAGTAAGTAATGCAAATAAGTCTCACCTCCTTGGGGCCCGGGATAGATAGACGTTGTTTAACAAGTGCTAAATTGGATGTTGTTTTCCAGGAGATGTTATCCTCCCTCCATCTTTGACTCTAGGTCTGCGCAGTTCAGGACACATGCCCCCTTATTTCCAATTCTTCCCTCCCTTCTTCCATTGTAACATTTCATTCAGCGAGGACAGGTAACTATTGCCCAACCAACAAATATCCTGCTAATGCAAATGTGCTTATTATCTATCTTTATTTCCTAGTACTGTGTGTGCACGCGCTTGTGTATTGTTTGAAAGATAAATACTTATAGTAAAATACACCATATTATACTGAATACAGTCTCTGTGTCTGTTACTGGTGACTACCTGAAAGGTGAGACCTCTGTATACAACGGTGTTCGCTCCCTAATTTGCCTATTGCCAAATTAAGGCAATTTGGCTAACACCTTCTTCAGCCAAACAGATGCTCCCATAATTTCAGGTCAGGGTATCTGAGAAGCCAGTATTTACTGTGGATTCTGAAAGGCATTTGGAGATTCGTATTGAGTGTGCAGGTACTGCAATTGTTAGAGTGTGGGTCCAGGATTGGGGAGATCAGTGTTCAAACCCCCACTTAACCACAAAACAGACTATGAGACCTTGGGCAAGTCACACACTCAGCCTAAGTTGTGATGAAAAGAGAAAGGGGGAGGAAGTATTTCCTTTCATACACAAATGAAATGTTTACTCAAATTGTCTCAATGAAGGATTTAATGACATCTTTCCTCTCACAGAGTCCTCTTTCTTTGACTGAGATTCAGACTATTATGAGTTAAAAAAAAACCCCATGATTGTTGATGGTATATTTTTTGGAAATATAAATTATTTCCTATTGAAATAATTTAATATAAATTGCAAAATGTGGGCCTGGACCAGGTTCAGCCCCATGACCGCCCCTCCAGAAATTGAGAAGGCTACGCCCCTGGATGGGAGCCTACCAAGGAAGTCAGGAGTCACTATGCAGAGAGGCAGGGAACCGCAAGCCGCTTCTGAATCCTTCTTGCCTTGAAAACTTCACGGGGTTGCCATAAATTGGCTGTGACTTGACAGCAAAAAATAATAACAATAAAAATTGAGGATTGACCTAAACTAGAGGAAAGTGGGAGCAGCCTCAGTCAGTTTATAAGCACAATAGCACCACCTGGTGCCCATTTCAGACTTGGATCTGTGGAATTCAGAACTTTAGTAACCTACATGAAGTACGAGGATTCCTGCATTGGCCAACATCAAAATGAGGACTGCCCTGAGCTCTCCCAGTATGCCAACTGATCTCCAGACTGCAGAAATCAGTTCGCCTGAACTGCAGAGTCTATGGCATCATATCCCCACTGAGCTCCCTCCTTTTCCTCCTCAAACTCTACCCAGGCACCGCTCCAGAAGCTCCAGGAATTTCCCACACTCTTGTTGGCAGCCATACACAGGAGGACTGCCATACATTTGTTCTGTTAGAAATATAGGTGACGCACATCCTAATTCCAAATAGAAACAAAGCTTAAATATGATGACCTGCATTTGCTCCTTATCCCTATCCCAATTCTAGAATTACATCTGAAACACTTTAGCTAGTTTGGCTGACCCATTTTTCTTAACCATTTTGGGATTAAAAGCATCCAATTAGACATGCTAAGATATTGTTTTTGTTATTAGGCTTTTGATTCATCTCAGTTCATTGTTGTGGGGGCTGTCTTATTGGTGTTATATGCTGCTAAATAACAATAGTAATACCAGGATTCTTGCTGAAATTCATGCGTGTGATCTTTTCTTATACTGAATCGAATGCAAATGTCAACCAATTGTGATTAGATGACACTCCAGGTAAAGGACTGATGCCGAAAACATGTGACTGGCCAGCAGTTTACTGGAGCATCATCTGCTGAAACTTACTTAGTCTTTCAAATAGTGCAATCCTCCTATGCAGGGTTATGCCATGGAAATCAGTAGATCCAGAGACATGATCGACTCTGCACAGGATTGCACTGTTAGACACCTAGAAATTTTGGCCAGTTATTACTCGTTACAGTTCTGGAATTAATTTTCTTCGTGATATATATTTTGTCATATGCCTTTAAGTGAGCCATCACAATCATAAACTATTTTCTATTTCCCCCATCAATACCTGTATGGGAGGGGCCTCACTTAGTTCTAGCTCTGTGTGTTTCAGCTGTAGTTCCAAGCGTGTGTATGTGTGAAGCAATAAAGAAGCCTGTTGCTGAAGCTACCAGTCTCTTATCTGCTAACTGGATAGGTAAAGTTAATCCTACACACCAGACACTCTTAAAAATTTAATTACAGTCTTTCCGAAAAGCTGGTATGGTATTGTTATCCTCGGGCACATTTACTGAAAATACCATCATTTTCATGGCATAAACTCACTAGTTTACCTTTCTTTTTAGTCACTCACTAACCCCTTCTGTGGATACCCTCTCCTTTACAACCTTTCATGGTCCCTAATTTCAACAGAATTGCTAAGAAAGAGAGACCAGAAGCTGAGATTTTTGTCTTGGGAAACGTTTTGTTCTTTGAATCCAGTCTGCAAATAGGCATCTTGTCAAGAAGTGGGAAAATGCCACAGCATGCTATGAAAGAAAATTGTGTGTGTGTGTGTGTGTGTAATAAATACGAAAATAAAATAACTCAGACTTACTGCCAGACAGTTTTACTAATAGTTCAAAGATCTTTGTCTTTAAAAAACCACAAAAAACAGCTCGTGGTTCTTGTTAAGACCCACATAAGAGCTGTGGGGAAGTCTCTTGCAGGGGGCAGATTTAGGCACCTAGTTTTCTACTTCTCCCAGAAAGTGGGCACATTTTTCACAGGAACAAAGCAGAGAACTGGCAGTGCTTGGCTGCCTTCCAACCTGGACACCTTGGCTCTTAGAGAGTATCAATGGGACAACTTGCCAGGGTGGATTCCTAAAGAGCCATGAAATTCCTCCTCTCCTGACAGACACTCCCAGTACTCAAGTGAAACAAAAGCAGCAAGGTTACCTGCAGAGAGACTGCATCTTGGAGTAGCCCATTTGTTGGGGGGGGGGGGTGTCTGAAAACCAGTCCAAGATTTGCTTTTGCCCATCCAACCCAGCAACAGAAGGGCAGTAGGTCTCTCCTTCAGAGCATTCTCACAGACAATGGCCTAGTAAGTGAAAAAAGGTGACCAGCCATCTGAGGACTGAGCATAGTGGATTCCTTTGGCTGTAAACAAGGGGCATATGGCTAATTCCCACCAGCATATCCCTCACCCTGTTTGTGCAGGCACGCAGGAACTTAAGAACAATTACCTCAAGCTCAATGCTTTTCAATATCATTTTCCACTGTGGAGTATGAAGTGATGACTATGAACCAGCTCCCAGATGTTACAAGTCTACACGCTTTGGAAGTGAGAAAGGAAACTAGTTTCTAAATATGCAACTAAGCCCAGAAACACATATACTTGCGGTCCCCAACTTTTTTGAGGCTGTGAACAACTTTGGAATTCTGATAGAAGACGGTGGGAGCAAGCACAAAATGCTTGTGGAGAATAAGTGGAGAGAACCACAAATTCACTGCCAAAGGTGGAGCCAACCACAAAATGTCAAGTAATCGTAACTCCCAGACGTTTTAGGGAGAAGCTCCATTTTAACGGGATGCCTTTAAAAATGAATATATTGTTTTAAAATATTTTCTTCCATACACACAGCTTACATTCAGTAATGCAGTGGCGATCCTTGTCCTGTGGGTAGCAGCTACTGCCAAACCAACTTTATAAAAAAGCTGGATAACCAATCAGGTCCTCAATACCCAGTCAGTAGACCTGCTGTGGCAAAAACCCCACCTGGCCCTATCCACTTTCTAAAAACATTTGGTGGGCACCAGGAAAGGCTGGAGACCCCTGCTTTAGCTATCTCTATCAGTGACTGAGGGCTTTTCTGCATTCTCAGTTTTCTCACTTGTGTGTTCCTTCCTGTTGCTTTGGGATTTCCAAGGTACAGTTGAGCCATGTGCTGAATACAGAATACTGCATTTTCACTCCACTTTGGAACTGGATTTTACCATGTGAAAAAGCAAAATCCACTTTCAAATGATTGCTAAAGTGGATAGATATTCCAGCATGTGTGAAAGGGTGAATGTGTAATACTTGTAAATGTGGTTCTTCATCATAGATCTATTGAAGCAAACTTTATGGCTGGGTAGCCATTAGCCAACAATTTTTTTGAGGATCTTGAGCCATAAAATGACATCATTAGAACTGGTTCTCACAAATAGCAGAAGAGATTAATCTACATATGGGCAGTATCAATTCATATGACAGAATGCTTCAAAAACAATTAAATAACCTACGTATAGAAAGCTAGTTGTCAGAGGAAAAGGTTATAAGCATAGCCTTTTCCCTGATGATCTAGCTTTCTATACACAAATGGAGGAGCATGATGGATTATATGTATAGATTCATTTCTGATTACATGTGCATTTCACTTTGTTGGAAGTCTCCTTTTGGATTTACTTTTGCAGGTAATTCAACTCACAGTTGTTTCTTGTTGTCCCTTGCTCTTATTGTGCATGCTCATGGAAGATTCTGTACCGTAAAGTAATGAACCCTGCTCAGTCCTCTTAAGTGAAGGAATTTAGTGCCACAAGATGTTTCAATGGCTGCCACCTGTGATGGCTTTTTAAAAAGAAAGTGTTAGTCAAATTCAGGGAGAAGGGCAGAATCAGCAGTGACCATCCCTACTAGCTAAATAGAACCCCATGTTCAGATGCAGTCTTGTGACTAAGAAGGACAGCTCTTGCATTCCTGTTCTGTATGCAAGTCTCTCAGAAGCTGGATGCTGATAGAGACAGAATGCTGGTCTAGGAGGAGTCCTTGGTCTGATCCAGCAATGCTCTTTTAAAAGTCTAGCCAGGCATTTCTGAAAACCTGCAATTATTGCAAACCAGTCAAGATGCAAAGTGACACACACAAAACTTACTTTATTATTCTCTTTTTTCCCTTTAATAAACAGTCACTATAAAAATAAAATTTGCTATTCACTAGCGTTCACTGTTGGTGAAATACAATGCATTTCAGGACGAGGTACAGTCTGGCAGCCCCTTGATATTCAAGTTTAAAAAAATACTTATCTTTGCTCTCTCCAGAATACAATAGATCAGACATTTGTGCTTCTCTCAGTTCCGCAGATACAAGCTATTTTCAGTAAATTGTTACACAAAACTGTTTAGTATGGGATTAGTCAATTTCTTCTTTATAAAAAAAATAATCTTGATGTTTGTCCTACATCAGATTCCCATTTCACTGTTTTGAAATGCATAATTTTTCATCTTTATTGCAACTCTGAAGCTTTTTATAAAATATGCAAACATTTAAAATTAAAAAATGAGAGAGAGAGAAGAAAAAAAATGCTTTAAATCTGAATCTGTACCGCCAACAGACTGGAAAGATTCTTTTGGTACTTTAGTTATTCCAAGCCATATAAATATATACATACCCATAAAAAAATAGAGGAAAGAATTCTCTGTTCAAACTGACAGCTCAGCCAAGGATTGCTCAGGTACCTTGACAGGGCATACACAACCTTGTGCTCAAACAGATACCAAAAATATTTTCTATTTAATTAGAGGTTTCCTGGTTGAGAACCTTTTTCTCACGGCTGCACAAAGGCCATGATCCACTTCCTCTTTCCCGTAACAACTGAACTAATTGATGAGAAATCGGAAGCCACACAGAATGGCTTAGCAATGATCTTTGAACATACCTTTAAGAAAGATTTCAAAACGATTCAAAATGAAGTTTGGAACACACATAATACAAACACACAGCCTTTCTTTTTTTGTCACTGAAGGACTTCCATCCCACAATTACAAGCTAAATTCTGTCACTGAGGTCTTTAGTGGGTCTCAGACTTAGAGATTGTGTTCATTTCTAAAATTTTGTAAGATTTGAGGCTGCAAAAAGAACACCTTATTCCTGTGGAAACCAGAAATCAACATTCATGTTGAACAGAAAATAAATATGGTCAATAGTGAAAGATGGGGCGGGGGGGGGGGAGAGACATGTAAGCACAAATAGTTATCCCTTTGGGGTGGGAACAAGGCTCAGAAGGATATCCTCCCAAAATGCATAAATGTAATACATATTAGGGCCTTATCCCATCCCAATTATGATAACACAACTTCCATGGGTGATTAGAAGACTTATCCCAGGATCCCAGTGTGGCACAATCACCATTCGTTATGCTTGTGCACTGGAACAAAGGTTGCAGTGCACATTTAGATGACTGCACAGTGGGAAACAGCAACTTCAAGCAGCAGAAACAACCATTTGGTGGCGTTATTTAGACCAAAAAGCGTTTCCAGTTTCCTTAAAGGGGTCCCAAAAATTACTGACGAATATTTATCCTCAAAAACGTTACACCTAATTCCAGTCTCTAGTTCCACCCCTTATAAACATTTATTCTGCAACGTATTCGGCTCTCTTCCCTCACACACGCACAAAAACCTGACAACATCACACACAGAATCCCTGCTTTTCTCTCTCTGAAACTATACACGTGGGTGAGAGGGGAAAAACCACAGTTTTTGAGAAACTGGTTCTAGAGTGTCATGCCACGTGTGAGGTAAGATGAGAATGCTATTTCACAGACAGAAAAAAGCTAACCCTCACTCCATATTAAAGATGCGGATCTTGTGGAAAGGGAAAGGACCTCTGCTTAGTGGTGGAGGAGGGTTCTATGTACAGAAGCAGCAGCAGGTTCCAAACGGGCACCTACAGGCACCTGTATGGCACCTGTGGGTTAGGTTTAAATCTAAAAAGGAAAGGACAAGCTGGAAGAGGGTCCTCAAATATTTCCAGGCACGTGCTCTACCATTTGGATTAAAAATGCCCCCTTTAACACAATTGGACAGATACTTTCAAACAGCAGCATATGACACTCTCCCTGTACAGATACTTGTATCCTCCAATAAACATTTTTACCATAAAATCAATTACAACCTGTCACCTTTTTTAAAAAAAAGGTACCATGACTTTCACAGAAACAACAGCCGTTTGATCCTTCAACACAGTCTTGGGAAGCTTTGGCTTCCTTTTTACTTTTTGTTGTTGTTGTTGTTAATTCACATTTTCCACTGTGCCAAAGTCAAAACTTGGATATAAGATCAGTACCAGTCGATGCAAAGTGGCAATATCGTTGCTTCACTGCCTGCCACTTCTATGGAAGACCCGGATAGGGATGGTGACGGGTGACATCCAATGCAAACTCTGCATAAGAGAGGTTGGTTTGGGATTGGAGGGAGATGCCCAAACACCATTTATGCTCTACTTGATATGTGCTCATACGGCATGCAGAAGAGCTCAAGGAATACTTTTAAACAAGAGACACAAGAGCCTGGAGCCTGAGGGGTGGTGTCTGCAGAGCAGAAGCCAAGCAAGGAGTCGCCTCTGGTGGTGAGGGGAGCCAGGGGTGAACGAAGGGCATCCGCCATGTTGGAACCCGGCTCTCTGGCCCCCAGATGGTTAGTGCTGACCGGCCTCCCGGATTCGGCATGCCACAGCGGTGATGAGTGCCGCACCCTTGCCACTGCCGTCTTCTGACTGGAGGAAGGTTACCTCGCACTTTGGAGAGAGCTGCTTCACCGTCTCATGCATTACTGATGAGAAGCTGAAGAGAAGGGAAAGAAATCAAGAGCGGGTCTGAAAAGTCAACAGGGATCTCCAGCTCCTGGTTTAAAATTAGGTATTCCTTTACTTCTTGACTTAGTTTGTATTTTGGCCTGTTTTATTCAAGTTTCTAATGAAGTATTTGAAAGGGAGGAAGATGGAATGGACAACAGCTTAGGGTTTGGTGGGGGTTTTGCAGGTTGTAAACAATAAGTTCAACACACCTGTGTTTCATTTCCTTCATAAAACTACGTGCATTCCGCAACCACATGGTGCAAACACAAAACTTACAGTGCTGTCCTAAGCAGAGTTACACCCTTCTACACCCACTGACTGCAATGGATTTAGAAGGGTGCAGCTCTACACAAGATGGCACTGTTAGTGTTTCATGTGCAGCCCATCATCCCAAATATCTGCTCTTTTGTCTCTCTTTTTTAAATTAAAGCAAGGTTTTAATCCTTATGCTAGAGTGCCTAGTGAAATTTCAAAAGCCGAACACAGCCTCCCAGTGGGCAATGTGTGTGGTTCCAGTGCTCTGCTTATTGTATTAAAATATTTTTATCCTCTCTTTCTCCTTTCTTCAGGGATTCAAGATGGCTGGTTGGCAGAAATAGTTGCATGGCTATTAGGACTTGTGACATAACATTTAGGATGCTTGAGTATAAAACCTTTGCATGTTTACAGGCAATCTTATGCACTCTTACTGAGCAAATGAGAACGTTGTGGGGCCAGAAGTCAGTGAAGAAACCCCTCCCCCGGCTCCTGATATAATTTCCCCTCCCCCTCCAAATCTTTGCAGAGGCAGCAATGAAATCATCCCCACTAAGAACAGGACAGGTAACATAAGCTCTCATCCAGGCAGATGGACATACTGTGGATGAAGTTTGTAGAGGGTCCCATCCACGCCAACTGTGACTTTAAGGAAGTCCAGCCCACGGTTCTCTCGGATTTTGTCCACCACGGCTGCCATCCCTGCCCCACAAAGTTGGGCAGCGCGCCGGGCAATCACTGTGCACACTTCCTTCACGATAATGCTGTCGTCACATGTGCTTTCTAGGCCAAGGTGCTGGAGGATGGAACGGACCTGGAGCAGGGCTAGGCGATCACTGTAGGGCCAGAAGACAAAACACAGACCTTAGAAGCAAGAACACAATACTTCTGATGGAATGATGGCTTGAACCTCCATCAAACCGGCTCACAAGGGAGACCATTATAACAGCAGTTAGTTAGGAAGTGCTGTGCAGTCAGGTGCAAAGGATGAAGACACAAAAACCTCAGGGGGGAAAGGACCTTTTCTGAGACTAAATCAAGCTGACGTCAGAGTATGGGTTTAGTCCTATATGAAATTCTGTGAAGCTTGGACAACACTCAGATTAACTGAAGTTGGACCAATACAAGGTATTCCATTCACTTGACATTTTCTAATTCATCATTGCCTATACCATGATTTCTTAAATCTGACTCCAGTTGTTCGCTCCTTTCCAAGTAAGGAAATAGTAATAACTTTTGCAGAATCTTTTTGATATACTTTCCAAGTAATAAAAGGATATTGCAGACCCTCTGCAATATCAGTTACCATTTGTTCTCAGCAAGCAATGAAAGAGTTTATTTCAAATTCAGTGCAAAAGTGAGACACTTTGGCAAGGTCCCACACAGTTCAAGCAGAGGAAATTTCCCAATCTTCTTTTGGGAAAAAAAATTGCAAGCACAGGCTGACTTCAATGGCTTTCGCCACAGCTTGCACTTCAGAATGTAGGCCAGTTATCCAAATGAGGCCACTATTAAGGATGGGCACAAACCAGCTCACAAACCAAAATTTGGGCCAAATTTGGGCCGGTTGGGAGTTTGCAAACAGATGTTCGGGGAAGGCACCTTTCCTGAACATTTACCAGACTTGTTGCTGGTTTGGTTCAGCTGTTTGGGCCAGCCATTTCAACCTAGACAGCTGAGCCCTGTGAGGTCCACTGATCAGCTGTTAGGTTTAAATGGCTGACTGGCAGCCATTTAACCCTTTGATTTTACTTCCCCAGCCTTTGAAGGGGGAAAGCAAAACTGAAGGGTTAAATGATCAGCAGACTCACTGACCTGTTAGGTTTAAATGGCTGCAAGCCATTAAGAAGTGAAACCGACAGGTTAAATGGCTGGGAGCCATTTAACCCTTCCCAGGTGTTTCTCCCCCACACCTTTTCTCCCAGCCCTGGCAAGCCGCGGCTGGGAAAAAAGTAAAAGGGAAGTCCCTTCTAGGGCAGTCCCTGCTTCCTTTCTCCTGGCGGTGGCTCACCACTGCCAGAAGAAAGAGGCAATTGAACTCGCCGGACCAGCTAAAGTTTGGGTGGGGCCCTTTTGGGATGGTTTGGTTCGGGGGCTGCCACGAACCACCTTTGGGGGGTTTATCCCCATCCTGAGTCACTATCCTTTGCACACTAACTTTGAAATACACCCCCTGGAGCTTAATGAGACATGCTTCCAAGTAAACATGCAAAGGTGCTCACTGAGATCCCTTAACAGGTTGGCAAGTCTCAACACACAGGCCAAGAGTCACTAGCAGACCCCACAACTTTGGGCACAACTAGACACAAGGATAACTATTTTGCTGCTGCTAACCCCCCCCCCCCCAATCCTTACCCTCCTTCTCTTTCCTTAATATTTAGCAAGGAAAATGTGCAGCATGCCATACCATGTCTGATGTCATGCATCCTCACCCCATTCCACAGTGGTTAATAATGTCTCATGTCTAGTTCTGCCCTGCATGAGATCATCAGGATTAACGGCACTGTAGGAACAAAAGAGCTGACTGTCCACTAGGCGGCAGCAGACCAAGTTTCCATCATCAGAAGAAAAGGATAGTTTCATCTATTGCTTCTTTATCCTTCCTCCAAGAAACTCAAGGGCAGCAAGTTCCATCAGTTTATTACATCACATTCAGCCTGATTGGGCCGCAGAGAACAGGCCAAACAAGTTCCAGAACTGATTCTGTCATCAGTTTTGTTCCTGGTTTGCTTTTGCATTGCCTCATATTTGCTTTGGCCCAATGCAGACTTGCTCACAGGGTGGGGGTCCCCTCGAAAGCAGCCTTTCTGAAGTAGGTACCTGGAGTCTCCCTCCACCCACTCTTCTCACTCAGTCCTCACCTTTCAATCTGTGACAGGAACTTGGTCTCAAAGATGCCCCTCGTCTTTAGCCGCTCGGAAATCTGCCCACGGAAGAGCAGCCCTCGTTTGGTGAAATGGATCAGGATGTTCCGAACAATCTCGCCCAGATACATCCCGCTGATCATCTTCTCAAACCTGCGGGGGGGGGGGGGGGGGGGTGGAGAGAAGGGGAGCACAAAGTCATTTTCTAGTTGACAATACAAAACATAGCAAGCAGAGCAATTTGCCCACAGTGGCTTGTGGGTTGCAATTCAGACTCTGGATTTAGCTTAGTGAGCATTCCAGATCAAGATATGCAATTAGAGCTGAAACTTCTGAAGGCTTTCCAACTGGACCACAAATCCCAAGAATGCTCTGACAGCTCTTCTGTGCCACTCCCTCCCCAGCACAGATCAGGGCAAAGAGCTTTTCAGCACCCCCTCCTGCAGTGGTTTTGGCAGAGATCTCCCCGCTTATGCACCTCTGCTGCTAACTTCCATGAATGCACAAGCTAAGGCCACAAACCGCCAAGATGCCTAGAAAAGACAGAGAGAGA